TACCCCAGCAACTCCTTTTCTCGTATGATATCACTTTCATATAGTTTATGTGGACACTAGACTATATACTCTTTCAGACCGGGCGCAGTGGCTCACGCCTGTAATCCCAGCACTTTGGGAGGCTGAGGCGGGCAGATCATGAGGTCAGGAGTTTGAGATAGCCTGGCCAACATAGTGAAACCCCGTCTGTACTAAAAATACAAAAAGTTAGCCGGGCGTGGTGGCGGACATTCCAGCTACTCGGGAGGCTGGGGCAGGAGAACAGCTTGAACCCGGGAGGCGGAGGTTGCAGTGAGCTGAGATTGTGCCATTGCACTCCAGCCTGGGCAACAAAGTGAGACTCCATCTCAAAAAAAAATTACTCGGGCGTGGTGGCGGCGCCTGTAATCCCAGCTACTCGGGAGGCTGAGGCAGGAGAATGACTTGAACCTGGGAGGTGGAGCTTGCAGTGAGCCAAGATCGCGCCATTGCACTCCAGCCTGGGCGACAGAGTGAGACTCCGTCTCAAGAAAAAAAGAAAAAAAAGACTATATACCCTTTCAATATCAAAAACATGCATCTGACATCCTGCTTCTTTATCTTCCCAGTTCTTGCCAGACCTTGCACATTGCTGTAAAGTAGACAATTCAATAATGGCTGTGTGATTGTTCCCTTATTTCATTATTATCTCATTCTTTAGTCTTTCATAGTGCTCCCCAATATTCTAATAACCTGAGAGCAGCAATTTAAGTCATAAGAATTGCCATTCTGGTAGCAAAAGCCTTAGTGATTGTTTGAGTTTTCACTAAAGCAGCATCATCGTCAACAACCGTAAATAATTAGGTGCCCCTATTCTTTTAAGGCACTGAGCTGGGCCCAGAAATAGAGATCCAGGGCAGCAACAAAGCTTAATGGTTAGGATTTCAGAGTCAGGCTTGAGTTTAAGTCCCAGTTCTGCCATTTATTAACAACTTAATTTTGGATTATTACTTAATCCTTCAAGCTTCAATTTCCTCATCTGTAAAATGGGAAAAATAATAGTGCCAACCACATAGGGTTGTCATGAGGCAGTATGTGTGATGGTTTTAAGAACATGCACTCTAGGATCAGGTTATCTAGGTTCAGCCCCAGTTCTACCACTTACTAGGTATGTAAACTTGGACAACTAACTTATCTCCCCATGCCTCAATGTCCTCATGTTTCAAATAAGGATAATAACAGTATCTGGGCCACGTGGGATGGCTCACGCTTGTAATCCCAGCACTTTGAGAGGCCAAGGCGGGTGGATAACAAGGTCAAGAGATCGAGACCATCCTGGCCAACATGGTGAAACCCGTCTCTACTAAAAATACAAACATTAGCTGGGCGCGGTGGCTCACGCCTGTAATCCCAGCACTTTGAGAGGCCCAGGTGGGCAGATCACCTGAGGTCAGGAGTTCAAGACCAGCCTGACCAACACAGAGAAACCCCGTCTCTACTAAAAATACAAAAGTAGCCGGAGTGGTGGTGCATGCCTGTATTCCCAGCTACTCAGGAGGCTGAGGCAGGAGAATCGCTTGAACCCGGGAGGCGGAGGTTGTGGTGAGCCAAGATCGCGCCATTGCACCCCAGCCTGGGCAAAAAGAGCAAAACTCCATCTCAAAAAAAAAAAAAAATTAGCTGGGTGTGGTGGCGTGCTCCTGTAGTACCAGCTACTTGGGAGGCTGAGGCAGGAGAACTGCTTGAACCCAGGAGGCGGAGGTTGCAGTGAGCCAAAATCATGCCACTGCACTCCAGCCTGGCGACAGAGTGAGACTCCATCTTAAAAAAATAAAAAATGACAGTATCTGCCTGACAGGGTTGTTGGAAGGTTAAAATGAGTTAATTCCTATAAAGTATTAAGAATAGTGCCTGGCCATATGGATACCATTCATGAACTGTTAGCTATTATCACTATATTTCATCAATTCTAGGATAGGCTTTTTTTTTTTCAAATTTTACTAACTCTAAAATCAGGATGTATATTTCAATATTTACTACCCTACAAGCACTATTAGCCATTCTCCTTACATTTTAACATCTCTGAACCTAGGATGCTCCATATTGCTCACAGCATCTTAGAGTCAGTGCGCTGAACACGCTGCCTGGCCTATGGAAGACACTCAATATTTACATAACGAATGGAAGTCTACTGATCTACAGAGGTCTGTTTTCTACAATCGCTGTAGATAGATACTGAAAGAAATAGATTCAATTTCTTCAGTTATGTAATTCCTCTACTACTGAAAATAAATATATCCTAAAAATATATATATTCTAAGGCTGGGCGCAGTGGCTCATGCCTGTAATCCCAGCATTTTGGGAGGCCGAGGCAGGCAGATCATGAGGTCAAGGCAATTGAGACCATCCTGGCTAACACGGTGAAACCCTGTCTCTACTAAAAATACAAAAAAGTTGGCTGGGTGCGGTGGCTCACACCTGTAATCCCAGCACTTTGGGAGGCCAAGACGGGCGGATCATGAGGTCAAGAGATCGAGATCATCCTGGCCAACATGGTGAAACCCCGTCTCTTCTAAAAATACAAAAAATTAGCTGGGCATGGTGGTGCAGGCCTGTAGTCCCAGCTACTTGAGAGGCTGAGGCAGGAGAATTGCTTGAACCTGGGATGGGAGGTAGAGGTTGCAGTGAGCCGAGAACGCGCCACTGCACTCCAGCCTGGTAACGCAGCAAGACTCCACCTTAAAAAAAAAAAAAAAAAAATTAGCCAGGCATAGTAGCACATGCCTGTAGTCCAGCTACTTGGGAGACTGAGGCAGGAGAATCACTTGAACCTGGGAGGCGGAGGTTGCAGTGAGTTGAGATCGCACCACTGGGAGAGCAAGACTCCATCTCAAAAATATATATATATATATGTGTGTGTGTGTATATATATATATATATATTCTAAACAATGCTTTCTCAAGCGTCTAAACACACAGTGACTTGCCAAAAATTCTCCCTTCTTGTTGAGTTTTGTTTTTATTTTTTCTTGAGATGGAGTCTCGCTGTGATGTCCAGGCTGGAGTGCAGTGGCGTGATCTCGGCTCACTGCAACTTCTGTTTCCCAGGTTCAAGCTATTCTCCTACCTCAGTCCCAAGTAGCTGGGACTACAGGAACATGCCACCACGCCCGGCTAATTTTTGTTGTATTTTTAGCAGAGACAAGGTTTCACTGTATTGGCCAGGCTGGTCTCGAACTCCTGACCTCAAGTGATCCACCTGCCTTGGCCTCCCAAAGTGCTAGGATTACAGGCATAAGTCACCACACTGGCCTTTATTTTTATTTTTTGAGACAGAGTCTCACTCTGTCACCCAGGTTGGAGTGCAGTGGAACGATCTCGGGTCACTGCAACCTCCGCCTCCCAAGTTCAAGTGATTCTCCTGCCTCAGCCTCCTGAGTAGCTGGGACTACAGGCAGATACACACCACTATTCCTGGCTAATTTTTTTTGTGTATTTTTTTAGCAGAGACAGGGTTTCACCTTGTTAGTCAGGCTGGTCTTGAACTCCTGACCTCAAGTGATCCACCCGCAGTGGCCTCCCTCCTAAAGAGCTAGGATTATAGGCATGAGCCACTGCGCCCAGCTTTATATACATCAACTTTTATGGATGTAGAAAAACTTGGCTACTTATGCTATTTATTTTGCTAGTAATTTACTATCACACACATATTTTAAGTCACATATAAAATACATGAATATTGATATAGTGCTTTTTTCCACTACCCAATTTCATAAAAACAATTTTATTTGAACTCTTCATATATATCTTCAACATCAGTGTCTTCTTCTTCACAAAAATAGTTTATCGATCTAAAAAGTTTCCATAGCACATCATCTTCAGTGTGGCCCAAATTGTGAGCTAATATACCATCTAAATCATCTATGACGCTGTCACTAAAATTCTTTTCCAAGTCATAAGTAGCCACTCATGTGACAATAGGACAGTTGTTTTTTTTTTTTTTTTTTTTTTTTTGAGACGGAGTCTCGCTCTGTCACCCAGGCTGGAGTGCGGTGGCCGGATCTCAGCTCACTGCAAGCTCCGCCTCCCGGGTTCACGCCATTCTCCGGCCTCAGCCTCCCGAGTAGCTGGGACTACAGGCGCCCGCCACCTCGCCCGGCTAGTTTTTTGTATTTCTTAATAGAGACGGGGTTTCACCGTGTTAGCCAGGATGGTTTCGATCTCCTGACCTCGTGATCCGCCCGTCTCGGCCTCCCAAAGTGCTGGGATTACAGGCTTGAGCCACCGCGCCCGGCCAACACAGTTGTTTTTTATTTGTCCTCTAGGTATAACGTGATTTGAAAAATCCAACACTTGCTGTATTGCTTTCTTAGTGAGATATACAAGGTTCATTTGTCCTGACATCAAACACAACCATGAGGTCAGACCCCCAGGAACAATTTGCTCAATGAGGGCCAGCAGGCTCTCCTTTTCTCCTATTGCCCTCAGGGGACCTCTGTAAGTATCTGAAACCAGCCCTGACTGAGGTCACCTCAGGCAAACATGCTGTCTTCAACAGTGCTTTATTGTTCAGAAGAAAGGAAATGAATGAGCATCGTGGAAAATGGCAGGAGCTTCCCTCACATGCAGGCGACTATTCTGGAGGGAAAGCTTTGCCTGAAGAGGCATGGAACAGAATGTCGAGCAACAGCAGATCTGGGGAGCTGAGAGGCCCCCTGAGCCAGCGGGCCTGTGGCACACATGCCCATGGCGGGGCTGGCTGCGGCGCTCTGCAGCAGAGCTGCCCCTGCTGCCTCCCGCCACCCTCCCCCAGATCACATGGGCACCCAGAGGGCCTGGGACTTCCTTTCTTGTTTGCAGTCATGTTCTGAGTAGATGAGCCGTCAGGAAAATGCCTTCCCATGAGTGAAGTGGCACTGTACTGTGTATTATATATAACTACGGCACTATGATGACTAATGATGTTGAGAACAACTAAGCATATGTATGAATTAGAAGCCTTAAAAGAGGATCTTAGGTTAGCTTTCAAATTATTCCACGTACCTCGTATTAGCTCATAAATATTCATGTCCATAAGTTCACATATTAGTGCAAGAGAACCAGATTTTCTGTCACTGAAGAAGAAAGCAAGTTTTTAAAATAAATTTTCTGGCCTTAATCAGAAAATACAATCCAATATTTAATCCATTTGTAAACATTTCTAGTAAACATAAGGCACTCCCACATCAAATACTACAGTGTAATTGCTGAAACAGTAAAGGTTCTGATTTCAAATCAGTATTTCAGGTAAAATTAATTAAAAATACTAGCAAAACCCAACTTTGAACAAAATTCTAAAAGTCGAAAATATATATGTCTTGAAAATACATAATTAACTATCAGTAGAAAGAAGAAAAAGGCTGGGGAGTTGGGTAAGCAAAACAATGAAAGAGGCCAGGTGTGGTGGCTCACTCCTGTAATCCCAGCACTTTGGGAGGCCGAGGTGGTGGATCACTTCAGGTTAGGAGTTTGAGGCCAGCCTGGCCAACATGGTGAAACCCCATCCCTACTAAAAATACAAAAGCTGGGTGTGGTGGCGGGCGCCTGTAGTCCCAGCTGCTCGGGAGGCTGAGGGAGGAGAATAGCTTAAACCCAGGAGGTGGAGGTTGCAGTGAGCCAAGATCACACCACTGTACTCCAGCCTGGGCAAAAGAGTGAGACCCTGTCTCAAAAAAAAAAAAAAAAAAAGAAAAGAAAAGAAATTAATTCGTGCTCTGTGACTGCAAATTAAATTTTAATTTAGCTAAATTCCTTCCATGTAATTGGGATAAATCACAATGGGAGAGTAACAACCAAAAACCAGTCAGGGGAAAAAGAGAAAAACGAGTCACATCACAAGTGTGTGGTATCAATGCTGACACAGAATGGGGACAGAGACTGCTGGCTGAGCCACCAACTTCTCCTGAGTACAAGCAGGCCTTTAAAGGGTTCCCAGAGTCCTTAGCGGGAGCCTGTATCACCCCAGACCCTACTCTGGGTGCCTCCAATCTGGCAGAAAGGGGTCTTGGTTGTTAGGAGGCCCACATGAGATTCTGGACAGAGTGCTGTAGAAAGTGTGTGGGAAGTGCATGACGTGCATGCAGTGTTGACACTATGACATACTAACTGCAGTCTCTGAACCTGGCCCAAATTGACTTCTAAGAACGCTACAGGCCAGGAAGTCACACAGTTATAACAAGACATTTCATTTTGAGTTTAAAACTGTTCCATTCTCTGATTAAAATCTACTAGACTTTAACTGGCAGTGGAGTTTAACTGGAGTTCCTTGGTCGATCTTACAGGCCAGTCTCCCTCCGGAGCCACAGCGAAGCTTCTACACCGAGGGGCACCCTCTCAGAGTGGCGGTGCCATTCTAGCCCACAGCAAAGAAGGTCCCCAAATCCTGTAGTCTGACTCCCTGGCTCAGTGAGGTCTGTAAGCACAGCACAGAGTTGCCAGGAAGAAGGCCTTCCAGGCTCAGGCAGGCACTGAGGGACAAGCTGTGCTCTCCCTTCTTTTTTTTTTTTTTTTTTTTTTTTTGAGACGGAGTCTCGCTCTGTCACCCAGGCTGGAGTGCGGTGGCCGGATCTCAGCTCACTGCAAGCTCCGCCTCCCGGGTTCACGCCATTCTCCTGCCTCAGCCTCCCGAGTAGCTGGGACTACAGGCGCCCGCCACCTCGCCCGGCTAGTTTTTTGTATTTTTTAGTAGAGACGGGGTTTCACCGTGTTAGCCAGGATGGTCTCGATCTCCTGACCTCGTGATCCGCCCGTCTCGGCCTCCCAAAGTGCTGGGATTACAGGCGTGAGCCACCGCGCCCGGCCTGCTCTGCCTTCTTGATTGATAGATAAGCCTTATGGAAACTACTCTATAATTAGAACAGAAATGAAAAATCCCCAGAAATGTTATCAATTTACAGTAAGAAAGGCTACAGGAGACTGTTCAGAAATGGCAACTGGCAGGGACAGAGTGAGAATGTACAATCCCTGAAATAACACAACAGTGCTTTCCCAATAGGTCAAAATTCACACTCAAGACCTCAGCAGCCTAACTGAGCTCCAGGAGATGAACTGTTTGCATGACGGATGCTTTTATGATGTGGAGTCACCTAAATGAAGGCATTGCCACATTAAGAATCAGATGCTGGCCGGGCGCAGTGGCTCATGTCTGTAATCCCAGCATTTTGGGAGGCCAAGATGGGTGGATCACCTGAGGTCAGGAGTTTGACACCAACCTGGCCAACATGATGAAACCCCGTCTCTACTAAAAATACAAAAATTAGCCGGGCGTGGTGGCGGGCGCCTGTGATCCCAGCTACTCAGGAGGCTGAGGCAGGAGATGGCTTGAACCTGGGAGGTGGAGTTTGTTGTGAGCCGAGATTGCGCCACTGCACTCCAGCCTGGGTGACAGAGACAGACTCCTTCTCAAAAAAATTTTAAAAAAAGAATCAGATGCACATTTTTCCAAATAAAAATGTGATATAAGATGAAGTAAAAATGGTTACTCTCTGAGCTACGAAGCAAATATTCAAAATGTCTACCATGGTTTTCTTCCTTAAAAAAAGATTATTTTCATCAAATTTAGATAACTTTTCAAGCTCCAAATATACTTACAAAACCACTTCATGCAACGTAAGAATGTTTGGGTGCGGATTCAGGCGCCTCAGTGCTTGGATCTCTCGTAGGTTGTTGACTTGCTCAATACTATCATGTAGGTAAAAATGGATAGCTCATTTACAGTTTAGGTCAACTTCAAAATTAGAGTTACTTATTATCCAGGATCACCATTTTAAAACTCACAAATATTTCAAGCAAATTAATCAGCTTTTATATCTCCCATTAGAAGCTAAAGTTAAGCTATACCTCACTGCTGCATTAAAAAATCAAGGTTCTTATAGCTAGAACATATGTTAAAATTTTTCCCATCTAAGATCCTGAAAGAATACTTGGTAGTTTATTTTACAGATTAACAAACATAAAAACAGACATTAAAACTTATGATTAAATTTATTAGTAAGATTAATAATTAAGATTTAGTCTTCAGTTTATAGATACACTATCTGAAAATGAGCATTTCAAAGTTCCAAGAAAAGATCAATCCCTCTTTTTTTTGAGACAAAGCCTCACTGTCATCCAGGCTGGAGTGCAATGGTGCAATCATGTCTCACTGGAGGCTCAGGTGATCCTCCCACTTTAGCTTCCTGAGTAGCTGGGACCACAGGTGCATCCCACTACGCCCTCTCAAACTCCCAGGCTCAAATGATCTGCCCGCCTCAGCCACCCAAAGTACTGTGATTACAAGCCAGAGCCGCTGTGCCCGGCCTCTTTCTTATCTTTAATGATGCTGTACTCTTTTCAATTGTTTTTTTTTTTTTTTTTTTGAAACGGAGTTTCCCTCTTGTTGCCCAGGCTGGAGTGCAGTGGCGCGATCTTGGCTCACCGCGACCGCCGCCTCCCGGGTTCAAGCAATTCTCCTGCCTCAGCCTCCTGAGTAGCTGGGATTACAGGTGCCTGCCACCATGCCCGGCTAATTTTTGTATTTTTAGTAGAAATGGAGTTCACCATGTTGGCCAGGCTGGTCTCAAACTCCCGGCCTCAGGTGATCTACCCACCTTGGCCTCCCAGAGTGCTGGGATTACAAGTGTGAGCCACCACACCCGGCCCTCTTTTCCATTTCATTCACCTGGTGACAAGCACTCTCTGGGCAGGTGTGTCTTATTGCAGGCTCTTCTTTATGAAGACCGCTCTGCCAATACAAATCATGTCAATACAGTGCAATCAGGTCCAAGGCCTGAGGCTGGCTGTCACTGCCCTCTAGACAGACCTCTTTTGAGAATGCCACTTCACCACAGTAGGCCTATGGGGTCACACCTAATTGAATAATTCAATTCACCAGAAACTGTCATCTCAGGCTCCAAAAGGAACTAATTGTGGGACTACTTTTTCAATTGGCAAATTCTGTTCTATCAACTTTTAACATATAGTGGAAAGCTCAACATTTTGTTTGGTTATTTGAAGAGTAGTTTTACCCAGCAGTATAGGTGTAGTTTTAAATCAATATGGCTGAGGCTGGGTGTGGTCGCTCACGCCTGTAATCCCAGCACTTTGGGAGTCCTCAGGATCACCTGAGGTCAGGAGTTCCAGACCAGCCTGGCCAACATGGTAAAACCCCGTCTCTACTAAAAATACAAAAATTAGCTGGGCACAGTGGCATGTGCCTGTAATCTCAGTCACTTGGGAGGCTGAGGCAGGAGAATGGCTTGAACCCAGGAGGTGGAGGTTGCAGTAAGCCAAGATTGTGCCATTGCATTCCAGCCTGCCCAACAGAGTGAGACTCGATCTCAAATAAATAAATAAATAAATAAATAAGTCTGAATATTTTAAGTCACTCTCATGTTAGCCAACAAATAGAAACCTGATTTTTTTTTTTTTTGAGACGGAGTCTCACGCTGTTGCCCAGGCTGGAGTGCAGTGGCGCGATCTTGGCTCACTGCAAGCTCCGCCTCCTGGGTTCACACCATTCTCCTGCCTCAGCCTCCTGAGTAGCTAGGACTACAGGCGCCCGCCACCGCGCCCGGCTAATTTTTTGTATTTTTAGTAGAGACGGGGTTTCACTGTGGTCCTTGAGATCCGCCTGCCTTGGCCTCCCAAAGTGCTGGGATTACAGGCGTGAGCCACCGCGCCCGGCAGAAACCTGATATTTAAGAAAAGCCTGAAAACAGAATAGCCTGAAGAGTCTAAGAATATTTCAGACTAAAAGTTCTAGCCCTCATTTTCATTACTATCCTGTATTTCCTCCCTCACATCCAAGTTGGTATTCAAAATGTTAACAACTCGCACCCCAGATCCACAACCAATCAGAAAAGACACAGCTGACCATGCTGGAGCCAGATCCTCAAGGTGGCCAGAACTAGGGAGTGCTGAACAAGGGGGCCAGGTGACACTCAGGAGTGTCAAGACAGCAGCTATTTACCAATGAATACAAATCATTCAATATTCTACAACACACAGAACAGAAAAAAAAATAATAATTCCAGGCCAAAATGCCAACAGTGTTGAGACAGAGAAATCCTGCTTCAGGTGGAAAGAGCTAACAAGCTAGCAATAGTTCCAATTTTTGAACACCCAATCCGAAAAACTTAGGTTTTAGAACTGGGCAGCCAAACAGCCATACTATTTAGACAAATATCCACTCTTCTCATCTGTAATAGGAAAATCAGTTATCACACCCCAAAACATATTTTGCTTACTGGAGACAGGATTCTTTCATATCTCCACAGGCATTCACTGAGAAATAATGAACTAAGACAAACATTTAGAAAGGCACATTTTCCTGGATATTGCTAGATACCGGGATCTAGCAATTGTTCAAATAACAGTGATTAATAAAATTCAAATCAACTCTGTCCCCTCTATTAAAATCATGAAAAAAAAAAATCTAAAAAAACCTGGAAGTAACTACTTTTCTTTGCCTTGCAGTTGCTTTGAATTTTGTGCTTAGGTGACATTCAGTTTGTTTTTGTTTATTGTTGTCTTGGAAACAAAATATCACAGAATTGAACGTAAGAGGAATGCAGGCAGTCTTTGCTCCAAAAAGAACCAGACGACGGCCGGGCGCGGTGGCTCACGCCTGTAATCCCAGCACTTTGGGAGGCCGAGACGGGCGGATCACGAGGTCAGGAGATCGAGACCATCTGGCTAACACGGTGAAATCCCGTCTCTACTAAAAATACAAAAAACTAGCCGGGCGAGGTGGCGGGCGCCTGCAGTCCCAGCTACTCGGGAGGCTGAGGCAGGAGAATGGCGTGAACCCGGGAGGCGGAGCTTGCAGTGAGCCGAGATCGCGCCACCGCACTCCAGCCTGGGCAACTGAGCAAGACTCTATCTCCAAAAAAAAAAAAAAAACCACAAGAACCAGATGACGTTTACCATAAGTGGAATCTACAAATGGAACAAATTATGATCACCAGGACTCAGACTTCTAAAAAAAATTTAAAGATCGGCCAGGCTCATTGGCTCACACCTGTAATCCCAGCACTTTGGGAGGCCGAGGCGGGCAGATCACGAGGTCAGGAGATCGAGACTATCCTGGCTAACACGGTGAAACCCCACCTCTACTAAAAAATACAAAAAATTAGCTGGCTGTGGAGGTGGGCGCCTGTAGTCCCAGCTACAGGAGAATAGCATAAACCCAGGAGGCTGAGCTTGCACTGAACTGAGATCACGCCACTGCACTCCAGCCTGGGTGACAGAGCGAGACTCCATCTCAAAAAAAAAAAAAAAATTTAAAGATCAATTATGAAATTTCTTTTTTTTATTTTTTTTAGACGGAGTCTCGCTCTGTCGCCCAGGCTGGAATGCAGTGGCCGGATCTCAGCTCACTGCAAGCTCCGCCTCCCGGGTTCATTCTCCTGCCTCAGCCTCCCGAGTAGCTGGGACTACAGGCGCTCGCCACCTCGCCCGGCTAGTTTTTTGTATTTTTTTAGTAGAGACGGGGTTTCACCGTGTCAGCCAGGATGGTCTCGATCTCCTGACCTCGTAATTCGCCCGTCTCGGCCTCCCAAAGTGCTGGGATTACAGGCTTGAGCCACCGCGTCCGGCCAATTATGAAATTTCAACATTTCATTTTATTGGATGAATTTTATGGAAAATAAGTTTATCTAACCATTACAATCTACATGAAGAACATCCTCAAAGTGAAGGGAAGGGGAGGAAGAAATGGTTATATTAATATTAAACAAAATAGACTGCAAAATAAGGATTACTACTACTTATGATTTCATGATGTTAAAAAAAAGAGTCAATACATTAGGAAGCAATGACAATTGTAAATGTGTATGTGCCAAATAAGAAATTTTTTTTTTTTTTGAGATGGAATCTTGCTCTGTCATCAAGGCTGGAGTGCAGTGGCACGATCTAGGCTCACTGCAACCTCTGCCTCCCAGGTGGAAGCTATCCTCCTACCTCAGCCTCCTGAGTAGCTGGGATTATAGGTGCCCACCAGGCTATTTTTGTATTTTTAGTAGAGACAAGGTTTCATCATGGTGGCGAGGCTGCTCTCGAACCCCCAACCTCAGGTGATCCACCCGCCTCGGCCTCCCAAAGTGCTGGGATTACAGGCGTGAGCCACTGTGCCCAGCCTGAAGTATAATTTTCATGGCATAAAATTCAGCTATTGTAAATGAGTTTTAGGACATTTATATAGCTGTGCAACTGTCACCACAATTCCATTTCAGAACACTTTCATCATCTGTTGGGAGGTTTTTGATAACAACTAATAAAAATAAAATATGGCTATTTTATCAAATAAGGCTGTTTCAATTTCCAGTTTTATTTTGTGTCAGATTTGGTAACTGTGTTTTTTGAGGAATTTGTTTATCTAACCTAAATTGTCATATTTATTGGCATACAGTTATCTGTAATACTCTCATTATTTAATTTTTTTGGTTTATTTTTTTTTTTGAGGGTTTTTTTTTTTTTGTTTTCTTGCCCTTGTTGCCCAGGCTGGAGTGCAATGGCACAATCTCGCCTCACTGCAACCTCTGCCTCCCAGGTTCAACTGATTCTCCTGCCTCAGCCTCCCGAGGAGCTGGAATTACAGGTGGCCCGCCACCACGCTTAGTTAATTTTTGTATTTTTAGTAAAGGCAGGCTTTTGCTGTGTTGGCCAGGCTGGTCTCAAACTTCTGACCTCGTCATCCGCCC